GTGTGAGAGAGAGAGAGAGAGAGAGAGAGAGAGAGAGATGTTTGTTTTTGTGTGAACCATGCAGACATACTTTGGTTTGCATTTCCTGCAAGTGGTCTTGCTCATCTACAGTGTCCCATATCTATGATGCATTGGTTTATGTGTTTGATTAGGAAATGCATAAAACACATAACCAACACATTTTCCTGCACATTCTTAACATGCCCCACTATATGAATCTGTCTTTATTATTTTTCCTTTGATGAGTAAATCATTTATATAGTCTATGCATCTGATTGTGTTTATCCAAATGCCTGTGTGTGCGCTAGTGGCAGCTCAAAGATCAATGCCCATAATTGATATATCAATTCACCTTATAAGTGTTTTGAGCACAAAACACTCGTACCTTTTCACAAACATATGTAAATGCTCAAAGCACTTTTGCCCAATGTACATCTGCATGTGTGTTTAGATGCTTGCATGTGTTAATGGGTATGTGTATAAAAGGGGAGGGTGATCTGTGCACGCTGCATATACACACGGTGAGAGTTTTACAAAATGTCATAGGTATTATGAATCGAAATATTTGTGCTTGCATGTGCCTTAGTGCGTCAAGCACTGGTGAGTAGTAGTTTAGGTCCCATTTGTGACTACTAAAGCTTTTTCTTTTCAAATATCAAGCTGAAACTTTGGCCAAATAATATATCTGATTAGGAAAAGTTGAGACTGTTATTGGTGGAGTTTGGGTTCTTTTTTTCCAACTGAGAAAGTGAGAGTTTCTCTTAAAGAGTAATTAACAGTATTATATTGAAGTAAAAACGAGTATACATGATTCAGTCCCCAATACAGTTAATGGCCGTTCGTACAAAAGAAACAAGAAAAACTGCGTCAGTGCCCTGGCTGAGCTGAATTTGAAACAAAAATCTGGCCCATGGCACCCTTCTTTGCTGATGCATCGAAGTCCACCTTGGCCTCCCTCCATACATGCTTGAAAGTTATCTTGTAGGGACCTTGTTGCTGCAGAGATTTGTTAAAAAATGTTCCAATCTCCAAGGACAGAAGTGGACTTAGTAGCCAGGAAATAATATTTTTTGAATCTGCTTTCGTTAGAAGAGGGTGACCCCAACCTGAATCAAACACCCTGAGTATTTCCAATGTGAAAAGATTTGCCGCTCCCACGGGAGCATACTGTGCATTTGTTCCTTCAGGTAAAACTCAGGACTATTTTTTCGACCCTAAATTTTGGGGATGTAATCTCGAGAACCTAATAACCAAACCTCAAAGGAAAAAATAAATAAATGCGTCTCTCTATTTGCCTCAAATTATTAATGTCCCAAGATTGAATGAGTACCATCCAATTTTCGGAGGCCAAGATCTGGATGGTCAAGATATTAAAATCCTTTTTTTTCCCTTGAAAATAATCATCTAGTGATACATAGATGGATCCCAAAATTTCAGATAAAAAATCCTTCTTATTTAGTTGTTGTACAGTGTATGCTCCCACAGGAGCATGCTATATGCACTAATTTCTAATAAAGCAGAGTTTCAGCAAACTTGGAGTTTGCAATCCCTGTTGGGCCTAAATAGAGAGAGAAAGTCCAAGATGAGCTATATTGGTAGAAACCACTGCACTAGCTTCGGCAAATGTGGAGTTTACAACTCCTATCAAGCTCAATAAGACTATAAAGTCCAAGATAATCTATCTTGGTAGAGACAAACTGACAGTCACTGAGGTGGGGTTGCCAAGACAGCTGGTTGAGCTTAATAATCCTTTCCTTGTAAGGGATCCAATTCTTCGATCTTGGGATCGTCATTGGCCTTGAGCGAAGGATTGCAATGCAGTTTTGCTTGAAATATGCCTGGGCCAAATTGCACCAACTGGAAGTTAGTCCTATATATTATTTGAAATTTGGGCTTAATTATTGAAACTTTCATTTCCCAGTCCTAGCCTAGTATCGGAACTCCAATCAGGGCATATTTGCTAATTTTCCGCCAAAATTAGTTATAAACTGCAATATTTGATAGGCATGATGTTTCCAAGCATCCTGATCTCGAATACTGCCTTTGTAAGTACATCCAATGCAGGTAAAAACTTGTCTGAGGGCAAATTTGTCCATGGACTTGTGTGCAACTGTGATGAACTCCTGAAAGCGTGACATGTGTGGTCAAGTTCTGTTAGAATAGGCAATTTAGGCTGCACATCTCCAGAAGGGATAATTGGTCATCTAATTTATCTGATTTAGATTTGAAGCTTTTGAAAGAAAAAAACGAGACATGCAAAATTTGCTAAACTGATTTTGCCAGCCGGATTTGCCAAAAAGTTACTTCTAAAGGTCTCAAACTTCAAACTTTCCTTTCTGTTTAAGGGTGAAATTGTTTGTTAGGGTTTCTTCCTTTTGATTAACAGTCCAGATTAGATCCAGGTTAGGAGTTGGTCTATAAATACAGGATAGCAGAAAGATGTAAGCAGCCTTGAGTTCTTATACATCGTAATTCCTGGCTATTATTACAATGGTAGCTATTGAGCTTCAGCGGTAAGCTTCTTTCTCTTTCCATCAATACTTCAGAGCTTTGCTCTCTCTCTCTCTCTCTCTCTAAATTTGTTGTTCCCTTTGTAATTTTAGAATCAGAGCACGTCTGTTCTAAGCTCCCTATGTGCTGCAATTTTGCACCTTGTGCATGTGCATCTCCCACATCTCAACTCTAAATTCTCAATCAGACAATTCACATTCTTCATGATCTCGTAGGCATATTTTCTGGCCATGGGCAATGGTAGCAATATGCAAGCACATTACCATTTTCCACAGATGTGGACTGATGCACTCCGGGGCGCATATGCCTTATTCGGACGTATTTAAAAACATTATAAGCGGAGGTTACAGAGGCAATCCATGAGGTTATAGTCACCAGGACCATCACTACCCGGTGTGGTTCGAATAGCCAATACTTTGTTGATGGAAGGACAAACTCGAGTCATATAACTCATGGAATTCAGAAGTGGATTTGAAGCTGGTCGATGATGATGCATGGCGGAGGTTCACATCTGAGTGTAACTTGAGGGCATGTTCCCTTTAACCAAGGGAGGCTGATGTAGGTGCACACTTGTCTGAGGCAGAATTAGCTGGTTCGAACCATCTGCTGTCAAAACCTCTAGCTTTGAACTAACTGCAATCAATTTCCGTGGACTTGTGTCCAACTGCATTGATCTCCCACAGGCTTGATATTTCTGTCAAGTGTTGTTGGTGTAGATAATTTGGCAATGCATACTCCAGAAGCCCTAACTTTTTGTCTAGCAATTCGATTTTGGCATAAGACCTATTGTTTTGAAGCTTTCAAAAAAATCTGTACATGCAAAATTTGCTATACCGATTTTTCCAACTGGATGTGCCCAAAAATTACTGCTAAAGGTCAACTAAAATCAGACTTCAAAGTTTCATCTATCCTTTTAGTGGGTAGAATTGTCTTTTTGTCTAGGGTCCAACTGTCATTTCTTGCAAGTCTTTCTTTCTTTCTTTTGATTAATGGTCGAGATTGGATCTAGGTTTGTGTTGGTCTATAAATAGAGGATAATGGGAAGATGGGAGCGGTCTAGAGTTCTCATTGTAATTCTTGTTTATTCTAGCGTTAGCTGTTGGAGCTTGGCTTGTAAGTGTCCTCTTTCATTCAATACTTCAGATGTTTGTTTTCTGTCATTTCGTTTTGTTGTTCCTTCCATCAACATGGCTGCTTTGGAGCTTGAGAATTCACAATTGGACAACATTGAAAAGGTATGTAATGCATAAACTTTCTAATGTTGATTTCTAATTGTTTATTTTTTGAACATAGATTTTAAAGGTCCAGCTTGTAGCTTCAAAAGATTTCATGTCTCATTTTGGTTGTTTAGCTTGCAATATATATTGGTGGAAAAAGAGGCCGCCTACATAGAATTTGGACCTAAAACAGTTGAATCAGACACCTCCTCCCCTTCTGATGCTACCTGTGCCACCCAAAACCTGGGCGGCTGCCTAGATGCTGATCAGCCAGGACCCACCCACTCCCTGGCGTTCTTTCGAAAATTGTATTTCCTAATCATAGAAGTTGCCTTGTAGCAGCCTGTCCTTTACCCATTCCATTGCGAAAGGCACTATCAACCACTGGCACATTGACCACCAACAAAATGATAGCCAAATAGTAAAACAATTCATTTTAAGATCTTCCCAAATTCATTTTTAGTACTCAATAAATATATATGTTACAAGTAAAAGGATATTATGAATAAAATAGTACATTATGTATTGTAGCACGTTGTATCTGAAAATGTATTGTAGTACTATGTATCTGAAATTTTGACTGCTCCAGAACAATGAAAAGAAAAACCCTCAAGTGAAGTTTCTAAGGTCACTTGGCTGAAATATAATTGGAATAGTCTACTTTATGTCCTGGAAGTATAATATGATATAAAATATACATAATGTGTTATTATATACCGTGTCCTAGATTTACCTAAGCTTTATTTATCCATACCCATATCTGGGTATCTTTGTTCATTGAAATGCATGCAACCTTTCGCCTCATTTATTCTGTTGATTGTTTTGTTATCATACCATATATTTTCAATCGGCAGTTGTGTTGGTTTGCGTCGCTTGGGGTATGTTTTCTCAATGTGAAACTTTAAGAAAAGTGAAAAGTAGATATGAAGCTGCAATTCCAGATTACCGAAATGCAGTTTCCTTTGTATGCCTTTGTGTTTCTGGAGACGTGAAGCTTGCAACTTGAGGCATCCTACTTATTCTTCACAGTGAGATGCACTTCAAATGATTTTTGTTAAACTTGATAGGAAGTAGCTCTTTTATCTCATACTACATTGAGAGGACAATATGGTAGGATCCATCTCATAATGCATTAGTTGCATTTGGTTGAAACTATCAAAAGTAGTTGGATGATTTGGCTTACATCTAGATTCAATTTCTTTTTGCTTACGTGCTCCAATTAGTAGGTGGTCTGCTTTGATCACCTTTTTGACTTTTAGATGCATTTTGCAGATGTGCTAGTGTGCAAGTTACTCAGGGAACAGGAGGTAGAAGAACTGCTAGGGTGGCTTTAGGGGAGTATATAGCAAATCAAAGTCTAAGCACCTGCACGACCAACTTGTTAAAGGTTATCGATATATGGTTGTCAATTTACTTCTGATCCTTAGGGCATATTGTTTGCTCACATAGTTATAGGTATTGTTGAATTGTAACAGTCTAGTTATATGTATGAACATGCTCGACTCTATGTATTCGTCTTTTATCTCGCATTAGTTGTATAATCATTTGAGACCAACACACCAATTCTCCTGGTCAAGGAGAGATGAAGAAGAGCATAACCCCCATATAATGTTGGCAGAACTTACCCACCACTAATTGGGAGTCTTCCTATATTTCTCTCCTTTTTGTTCATGAATAATGAAAATAATAATAACATTAACTCCATCCAACCATGTCGGAGTGAGAGTAAAGTTCTTCAGAAAATTCTACCTTTCGCCCTATTATTAATACCTGACATCAAAAGAAATTATGAAACATCTTTAGAAAATGAGGAAAGACACACAAAGCAACACCTTAAATCTTTGCCATACCTTCCCTTCTGAGAAGGACCTTTATTACCAAATATTACGGCTTTGGGTATTTTAGTTCTATAACCATCTGTTAGTCATCCATTATCATCAGTCTTCTATCGTTCATCCATAATATTAGCAATAATTCGTAATATGGATCGAATTTGACATTCCTCAAGGAATTAGAGGATTTGAAGGGATGTTACTTTCCTGATAAATACCACTATTTCCTTTTCTGTAACAATTTTGAATATCCTAAATTTTTTGAATGACGTCAGTTTAAGAACTAGTCTATAATAAAGATACTACCCATGGTCTCTAAATGTTTGCTTGAAGGAGAATGTGTTGTTTTTTTTTCTTTACCAATCTCAAGTGTCAATTGAATTCTTAGTTTGCAGCAAAACATGTTGGCCTTGTTGCTAGTATCTTTGCTATGGGGTGCCATGTGAAGTATTTATCATCTATTATGAGAAATGGGCATGTTTGTTGTTTGCAATGTGTAACTATGGTGTTTAGTTTTTTTAATACGGTTCACGTGATGCAAAATCTTGTATATGTCAAAATAAATTAAATGAGGAAAAGGTTCCTCCGAGAAGTAGATGTTTTCACGAAAGAGTAAATATACATGTTCTCTTTGAAGAATGCTCAACATGAGACTAGAACTCTTCTCTACCACAGAAAATGTCAGAATGAAAAACTAAGGAAAAAGGATATATCGACCACAATATATAGGGAGCACCACTAATTTTATGACAGTATGTAACTTTAATATCATTCTTGCTTTCTTTCTATCTTTTTATCCATGATTACCATGGCCTGAAAAAGCCAAAGAAAATGGGACTGTGTTTTATGTGTATTTTGCACGTAAGACCTTTGTGTGTGGGTCTTAACCATCCATAAAGCATCACAAGCTTCCGTGACTTTAGTCGATGAGCTTTTAGGTAATACAGTTATGATACAATTTAATAGAAAAACTAAACGATGTCTCAAGTAGAAGAAACCTAGACTGAATGAATATGCTATAGGAGAGAGCTCAACCCTCATGGTTTGCTGTGGAGCTTGGTTCTTTTCCTTTCCTTTTTGAGTATGTAAGATAGGATTTGGACACTGGGCTTATCAGTCCTTGAACCTAACTAAGATGAAGGAAAACTTGAGGGTCTATGTCCTCAAGTATTGTGGAATTCGACTTGTTAACATGAAGCAATGTTATTTCAGGACAATACTAGGAAAATCGAATAAATTTGTTTGGCTGGAGTGGTCTTCGAATGAGGCGGTGCAGGAGGCAGTCGTCGGATTAACTACAGATAAAATGATCCATGATCCATACAGTAGTAACAACAACAATGTCCATGTGGTTAGACTGTCTAATCGATAATGTGGTTTGTCACTGTCTACTCATTGGGGTGATGGATAAAAAGTGGCGAGCAGAAGTAGGGATTACAATTCATTACTTGATTTGTCTGGTGGGATCCATCCTCTTCCATCACTGTCTAAACCATTGATCGGATAGCGATAACATCATGGTTATGGGTTTTTTATGACCATTTGGATGGCCCTAGTCAAAATACGACCACCGGTTTTTGGCGAGTTATATTGCTCAGTGTATTTTGTCAGTATTTTATAGTTTCTCGGGCGCATTTAGAAAGAGTTTGTCTTATGCTACCAGTTTTAAGTTCAAACATTGTGCTAGCAGATCCTTATCTGATGTCTAGAACAATAGATCACATCATCTGTTGGAATCTACTAGGTATTGAGCTTCGGCGAGATTGGTTAGTTATTGATGATTGCAATATTATGCCCCTTCTGACAACTAAGTACCCTACAAAGAGATTTCGTTTCCTTTACGGTTAATGGAGTTCATAGATAACCAAATTCCCTAAGGTGTTCGATGTCCTTCGAAATATTTATGAAATTTTATGTGGGGCCGAGATATTGTGATACTGACCGAGCTCTAAAACCCTAATAATGTGGCTGACTAAAGTCGTGCTATCCAAGTCTTACATGCCATCCAAACATGGCCCTATATACAATATTAAACAGAATGAGCCATAGGTCTTTGAGACCATGGTAATGCTTGTGATTCCTGTGTTTTTTAAGTAATAATTTTCATTATTTAAGAACTATTTATTTGCTATTTTATTTCATAATTGAGATTTGTCTGCCCTTTTGCTTTATAATGAGCTTTGTCTTTGAGATGATTATTGACTTTTTCTTCTTCCTTTAAATGTAGCACTACTTTGAAATCCCTATTTCCTACCTAAGATCAACCGGTTCAATGCATGAAAAAGTTAGGCTTGACAACAATAAAAGGAAACATAAAAATTTGAGTTTTCATGCTTTTTTATCGATAATTACATCCATATTAAAAAACTAAAATGGGAAGCAAAGTAATTTCTCTGGTTTTAGTTTTCTAAGAGGATAATAAATACTATCACAAAACAGGGGATTCAAGGTAACATTAAAAAACAATGTGAGAGAAAAGTCTTGAACAATACAATTCTTGGATTATCGTTATCCTTGCATTATTTCTTTATTCTAAGTTTGAAGATATTCATAAAGCCGAGGATTTATGCTCATGCCGAAGTATAATGTCGATTTACTCCCTCGGGTATGCGGAAGTATAATGTCCATTTCCCTCGGGTAAAACTCAATCTATGGGTACTTCTAGGACCCAAATTTTGGGATGCAATATTTCAACCCGATTTTCCAGAGGGCACTCTCTATGTGCTTGAAAAAATAATAAAACTTGAGATTAAATAAAAAGACCGTCCAATTTTTGGAATGTGAGATCTAAATGTTGTAGAGTTCTTTTTTTTTTTTTCCTTTGAAAATAATCATCCAGTGCTTCCAAAAATTTTCAGATTGAAAAAATCTTCATATTATGTCATCTATACGAGGGAGTAAATGTATAGATACCCCTGCAGGAAAACATTACACGCGCTCTTTATTAAAATTCTCTCTCTAAAACTAAAACTGCTCTCTCTCTCTCTCTTAAAAATGTATATAAACGAGGAATCAACCTGCAAGTCCCAAATCAACCTTAAATTTAGAAAGATGCATCTCTAAAATCCTTTAAAAAGGTTGTTTTTTTAATGGTGGAAAGCATCGATCAAATCAACCTTAAATTTAGAAAGATGCACCTCTAAAATCTTTTAAAAGGTTGTTTTTTTTATGGTGGAAAGCATCGATCATCTCGACATCGAGATGTATAGTTACAGAGAAAAAAACAGATTTCAGGTCCTAAAAATAGTACATCTTATAATATATTATCTGGACCGTCCATTTTCAAGATTCTCATGCATTTCTTGATTTGCTTGATTTGGACTATTTTAGAAGTTTAAAATTTTATAATTAAAAATAAAAATAGATTCTCGTACCATCCCAATAATTTTTAATATCAAAATTGCATCTCATGGCAAAGTTTGGAAGTGCACATTAGTTTGATGGAAAATGGTTTGATAGGACTGCAATCCTATCAAAATAAGTAAATCATCACCTCATAACTCATTCAAAGATTTCAAGGCAAGTATTGAAAAACCTTTACATCGATCATCTCGACTTGAATATTATGATTGTGAAAAAAACTTAAGATTTCAAGCTAAAAAAATAGTGTATATTGTAACAAATATCTAGACTGTCCATTTTTCTTTAAAGATAAGTGTTCACATATCCGCAAGATCTGTACCAGTTTTTTTAGTTTCAAATTTTATTGTCATTGTCGTAAATTAGTTGTAGAGCCATGATAGATATTTTCATCGCCAAAAGTATTGTCCGGACGAGGATTTGAGGTGAAGCTTTATTTTGATTTTATAAAGCCTATGCCTTATAGAAACCTCATCCTAGTTTGATCGTTTAAAGTTGCAACCTTACGCAAACCGCATCCAAATTATAGATCTTTCAAAAAAAAAAATAGCCTCTAGAAACCCACCTATAGGGCCTGTTTGATAACTGAAAAAGGTAAAGATGATGTTTGATAACTGAAAAAGGTAAAGATCATCTGGAAATTGGAAGTTCTTCTTTTGCTAAGAAAAAAAAAGTTATTTAAAAAAAAAATCCTAAGTGTATATGTTTGACCAAACACGTCCATAAAATAGGAAACATATTAAGTACGCTAATGGACGTAAGTTCACGAAAATTTAAGCGGAAAAAATTCAAAATAAATGGTGCAAAAGAATTAAAAAAGAAGCTATTTTTATTTCTACAATTATTTATTTATCATATATATAATCACCATTATCTAGATCATGGGTCTCAAAGATTTGGATCCAAAATTTACCTTTAAGATGGATCAGTATTTGCAAAGCCGCTGATCCGAATTCTTCGAAATCAATCCAAACCAACCCAGGTCAGAACCGAGAGTCAATCCAATTCCCTTGGAATTGTCTAGTTTTGTCGATAAATCATTTGGTTCTCATACATTACATTTTTTATTATTTTTATTTTTATTTTTGGATAGGTTCTCGAACCCAAATTCGGTCTAATTCACTAATCAAGATTAGTTATTTGCCTAATAGCTAGTTTACCTAACTAATCCGGGTTTCAAAACATTGAGAGGCAGTTTATGAGTCAAGAGACAAAAATAGGCTGCAGTTTTTAAGAGGCTTAGGCTTTGTGAAAACAAAATAAAGCATCACCTCGAAATATTCAAGTACTTAGAAGAGCAAGTTATATAAGAATAATTATGTTGGAGCTCAGTCGTAAGACATCGATCTCTCAGATCAATTCCGTTGATTACATGTTCATGGAGTTTTAAAAAGTCCAAACTAATTGAATGTCACGATAGCTCATAAAATCAATTTTCAACACTTATTATGAAATTTGAAGCTAAAAAAATGATACAAATCTATAAACACTTATTCTGAGGGTAAAATGGATACTTTAGATAATATGTTATAATATATATTATTTTTGAAGCTCAAATATTTGTTTTTTATTACAACCATAATGGTGGAGGTTAAAATAACCGATTTGAAGGCGTAATTTTTCGTGAGTTTTGAGTTGAAGTGTGGCTTATTCTAATAAGGCTGCCGCCCTGCCAAAACATTTTTATTTTCCGGGCTCTTGCAAGCCTCCTCGAACCATCCAAAGAGCACTCCTGCACGAAATCCATTTCTGATTTTCTTGAACCCCAAGATTTTCTCTCTCACCGACACCGCGACACACGAACCTATAATTATTGAGTTCCAAGATTTTCTCTCTCACCGACACCGCGACACACGAACCTATAATTCTTGAGCTCCAAGATTTTCTCTCTCACCGCCACCGCCACCGCCACCGCCACCGCCACCCCTATAAATATCAATCCCATTCTCTTAAAACCCAAATCTCTCTCTCTCTCATAAAATCACTCTGCAAAATCTCAATCCCCCTCTCTCTCTCTCTCTCTCTACTTTTCTGTCTGCTCAATTATCTCCTCTCAATCACACACCTCTCTCTCTCTAAGAAACCTCTCTCTTCCCCCATTATTTCCTGTCAGTCTAACCCAAATCTCAATTGCCCATCTACTCTCTCTCTCTGAAAAAACCTCAGATATAATTATGGCGAGAACAGGAACAGAGGCGTTTGTGGATCTCGGAAAGCACTGCTCATGGGCCGAATGCAACCAGCTCGACTTCCTCCCATTCACTTGTGACGGGTGCCGCCGTGATTTCTGTGCAGAACACCGATCGTACGAGTCCCATGACTGTTCCAAAGCCCACCCCAAGAACCGAGTGGTGATCCTCTGCGACCTCTGCTCAGCTTCCATGGAGACCGCTGAGGATTTGGAGAAGCATCAAGAGAATTCTCGAGAGTGCGAGGAGAACAGGAAGCAAAAGCAGAAGAAGAGGTGTTCGGTTGGTGGGTGCCGCGAGATTCTGACCTTCTCGAACACCATTGCCTGCAAATCCTGTGGCATGAAGACGTGTTTGAAGCACCGGTTCCCCCGTGACCATGCCTGTGGGGCCTGTGCCGTGGCCGCCGCAGCTACCTCGAGGGTTCGGGTTGACAAGGGTCAGGCTCTAAGAGTCCATTGATGAATGCGGAACCCTTCTCTCGCTTCCCCACTGCAAAGGCGCGCCGCAATCAATGAGACAAAGAACTCATGTATCTAATTGGATTTTTCGTTAATGTTTTTGAAGAGATGTTTCATATTTGTATGTCAGTCAAAGCAATGGTTGTTGATTTGGAAAAAGGCTGAGCAGGTTGGATGGACGATCTGTCCCATGAAATCGAGGGGCCAATGGTTCAATTTATCCGGGTTGCCGATTCGACCGATCCAATACGTGTAAGACCCATATGGATACTAATAATGTTTGGAAAAAGGTTGATCGGGTGGGTGGACGATCTAGCTCCCCTCGAGAAGCCAATCGATCTAAACCGATGAAACCTGCATGGGTTGAATTGTTGATTTTAATTTTATTCCGCATATATTGTGATCAATGTTTTAAAAAAAGACAAGGTCGGATTCAAGAATTGGTGGGCCCTCTCGATTCCCTCCCGAAACCGAAACCAGTTCTGTCGTAGAAACGGTTGATTGAAACCCATGTTTTATTTTTTATTTTATTCTCGATTTTTTTATTGGCGTTTCTCTTGGCCAAATTGGTGATCTAGGACAGCTATTCGCCAACCCAAATTGGGTCCTTTGATAGCTAGCTCACCCAATCAATCCCAATATTTAAACATTTGTTGGGATAATTCACAACTTTATATGATCACCCTTGACTCGCAAACTTATAATTACATCTACACTAGGGAAAAAATTTACACAAGGTTGCAACCATTTGTATTAATCTATACCGTCTATCTTAATGCAATTTGACACAATACTTACTTTCTTAATGCAATTTGACAGAGTGTCAAAAGACAGGCCACTTTCTTATTTTGCTTTAAGAGAGAATAATGAAATCTACACCATTTAAATAAAAAAATTAAATGCAATACCATTTAAATTAAACGGAACAAATCATCCTCTCATAATATGCTACGCATGGCTGCATCAAAATCATCCTCTCACTACGCACAGCTTCGTGCAAGATTAGATGTGGGTTCGATTCTTCCTCTATTAGCATTAGTAGGTCATAGCTCTAAACCGGGGCCTAAAGTTGGCAAACCCGGGCTTTCTACCAAACCTGCTCCAAGTCGGCCACAACTCGGATTTTGAGATAAGCACATATTTATATTTTTTTATAATTAGTTAATTTGAGTTTTGTACAACTTGGATTTGTATAGAAGCATATATATATAT